TGCGACATGAAATCAATAGAATTTTAAGGACACGGTCATAAAAATCGAGCGTTATATTCCCTTACAATTACTCGTAAGTTTGTAAACGTTCGTCGATGATGCGCCCCGTCTAACCACACTATAAACTAGATTGTGCTTAAATTATGTACGTCATATTAGCGGCGATTGAGGAACAATGGAATTTGGAACAAGGGTTCTATTTTTTTGCAAAATTGTTTAGAATGAAAATATGTAACGATCTATATAGGTTTCAAACATATCGGGTCCCAACAAATTTGTTGATTGTTGCCCTTACAGACGGTTTACCAATATGCAAGGCAAACCTGGTTAGGGGCTGTCTCCCCCCCCTGGTGATCAAACGTAATCATTCAATAAACACCCCCCCCCAATGATTACGTAATCCCAAGAATAAATTTTTTTGTTTTAATCTGTGGATTCAAACGGAGATGCAACCCAATCTTTAATATTGTTTATAAATGAAGTTTGGTATGACACATTCGGTTCGTCTACGCTGAAATTATCTTCGTCAAGCCATTCCAGGTCTTCGCGTCCTTCGTGTGATTGAACATTCTCTTTTTCGCCGTCCAGCCACTACAAATTTTTTTTCTGCTTTCCTATCTAAGTTTATAGATATAATTAAAGGAAAAAAGTTTTTAAATAAATTCTTTAAATCTAAAAATGTATATAAAATGATTACGTAATCATTGTGCAAGACCCCCCCTCCCCATGTAATCAAACATAATCATTTCCATTCTCAGACGTTGTATCAACATGCACGGTATATAGGCAGATTTGGAATCGTATTAACCTAGTTCAGTGAAAATATTATGAAGATAAAGCCGTCAGTTTTTGAGAAAATCCCTTTACAGTGGGTGAAGATAAAAAGTTAAAAGAATGGCCGCCAAATTTAATTTTGAACCAGTGAGTGTTAAGACATGAACCAAAATGTAAGAAATGTAGAACCGATCAAAATGGTGTCATGTAATGTATGTATACTTGATTCAAAGACCCTTATAGGGTCTTCCCACAGAGCTCCATCCACCATCTACCATCCGTTGAACGGATGGTCCGTAAGGTTTTGTCGTTCCGAAAATTTCCCAGTTAGTCCGCCATCCAATTTTGACGGACTTTGACGGGCTCTTTTATGCGATGTTTTCTCGGTGCAACTCTGAATTCTTCCTCTTGACTGTTAAAATTGAAACGTTGACTGCGGGAACAAATCAAATCGATGGCGGGAAAAAATTAAATAATGCTTCAGATCATTGTTTTTTGGGCTTTTTTTTAAATTATTTGCAGTTTGTTATGAGCGAAAAAGCGTTCGTAAGCAGGTTGCTTTGTGTGCTTGCGAACGCTTTTCCGCACAGAACAAACTACAAATAATTAAAAAAAAACCCAAAAAACAATGAGCTGAAGCATTATTTAATTTTTTTCACGAATACAATATACCTTTTTACTCTACGAGTAACGGGTATAAATCAGGGACCGAAAATAACAGTTATTTGTGACTTTTATTTTAATAGGACTACTGAGATTTTTACAAGTTTTAATTAACAATTTAACAGGTTTTTATGAACTTTATAGACATGAGCAAATAACAGTTAATTTCCTTTCCAGATTTGTTGACATGCATATACTTTGTGGGCAAGAGTAAAAAGAACGTTATTTTTGACGTTTAAAACAAAATATCACAGTAGACTTTTTAAAATAAAAATCTCAAATAACTGTTATTTACGGTCCCTGGTAAAAATATTTATTAATATTATTAAAAAATTAATAAAAACTAGCTATGAAAACAAACAAAAAACAAGAAAGGAAGCTACCTTCGGCCAGCCGAAGCTTATATACACTTGCAGATAACTCCTATTAATTTACAAATCGCAAAAATGTTAATCAAATAAAAACACCTCTTAACGAGGTAAAAAACTAGTGACGAACGCACCTTCAACATACAAAAGTTCTGATATCAAGATTTGTGACGAAAAATTATTACACTCGTCATTAAATAGACTTTCTAATATTTTCTCATTCGGCACGCTGCAATAGAAAATGCCTGTGAAGGGAAAAGGGCGGGCCGAATGAGAAAATATTAGAAAGTCTATTTAATGACGAGTGTAATAATTTTTCATCACAAATGTTGATATCAGAACTTTTGTATGTTGAAGGTGCGGTCGTCACTAGTTTTTTACCTCGTTAAGAGGTGTTTTTATTTGATATGATATAGTAGTTCGATTTTGATAAAATTAAAATCGAAATTCGAAAATATTTGAAAAGAGTTATATCCTAGAGTAGAAGAGAATACAATAAAAACCAACGAAGCAATAATTTATTTCCTATTATATTCCCATTAATTTTCCGATCGTTCCTATGGCAGCTATATGATATAGTCGTCCGATTTTGAAACAATTTTATTCGAAATTCAGAATTAGATAAAAAATGACATTTCCAAAAGTAGGATGTTATAGGTTCAAAAACACCCAAGATATAATTTTTGATATAGTTGTCCGATCCGGCTCGTTCCGACTTATATACTACCTGCAATAGAAAGAAGACTTTTGGGAAAGTTTTATCCCGTTAGCTTGAAAACTGAGAGACTAGTTTGCGTAGAAACGGACGGACAGACGGATAGACGGACATGGCTAGATCGACTCGTCTAGTGATGCTGATCAAGAATATATATACTTTATGGGGTCGGAAACGTCTCCTTCACTGCGTTGCAAACTTCTGACTGAAATCATAATACCCTCTGCAAGGGAATAATAAAACTTTTTTGGAACTGTCAGACGCTGGATCCAGCGTCCACATCTTTAAAGATTTCCGAGAAGTATAAATGCAATTTTGTTGTGTATACCTATACCTATAAATCGGACCATTCATTAAAAAGTTATACGCAATCAAAATTGTTTATATATCTAATAGATATTATCTATCTCCCTCGCACTCCCTTTAGCTGAGGTTCGAATATTAGATAGTCGAGACACCAACCCAAGTACAGCGTTCGCACTACCTTAAGTTGAGTGACGGGTATTAGATAGTCGGGACACCAACCCGACTATAGCGTTCTATCTTGTTTTCATTTTTTTCATCGTGATCAGTGACCCAAACGATGGGTCCCAGCGTTTATATATTTTGGCTGTAAACTAGTGTTATGCCGTTTCCTCACTGATGTACATACTGTAGTATTTTTTCGGTATTCAAAAAAATGCTATTTCCTGTCTGCACGGGACAGCATTTAGCATTCAGCATTTAATATTTCGAAAACAGATGTGCTTTGCTTTTAAATTCAAAATATTCCATGCTAACAAAAATTATCTTATTTTTGTCATGTGTTTTCTGCTGAAAATTCAAAAACAGCTAGAGAAACAGCGCAGACACGGAAACACAAAGGAAAGCGTTGAAAGCTTTTCATGAGGAAGACATTTTTCAAAACCTGAGATATGGGTATAATTTCTCAAATACTAATCCGCAAGCAGGAGATTTGAACAATCAAATGTATTGACCATGGATTTGGAATAAAGATTTGAATGTTTTATTAAGCTTTTGTTTGCATTATATATTGCTATGCAAAGCACATTAGATCTTTTTATATTAGATCTTTTGATTTCAGTCAGAAGTTTGCAACGCAGTGATGGAGACGTTTCCGACCCCATAAAGTATATATATTCTTGATCAGCATCACTAGACGAGTATATCTAGCCATGTCCGTCTGTCCGTCTGTCCGTCGGTCCGTCTGTCCGTCTGTCCGTCGGTCCGTCTGTCCGTCTGTCCGTCTGTCCGTCTGTCCGTCTGTCCGTCCGTTTCTACGCAAACTAGTCTCTCAGTTTTGAAGCTATCGCGATGAAACTTTCCCAAAAGTCTTCTTTCTATTGCAGGTAGTATATATGTCGGAACTGACCGGATCGAACAACTATATCTTATAGCTCCCATAGGAAGGAATCGTTAAAAAAATTCTAGTTTCGGTGTTTTTTCAAATATTACCTTCTACTTTTGGGAATATTATTTTTTATATATTTCTGAATTTCGAATTAAATATTTAAAAAATCGGATCACTATATCATATATGTAGCTGCCATAGGAACGGTCGAAAAATTAAATGGAAATTATTAGAAAAAAAATTATATCTTTGTTGATTTTGATTACCTTCTCTTCTACTCTGGGCTATGATTATTTTTAAATATTTCCAAATTTTGATTTTAATTTTAAAAAGATCGAACGACTATATAATATAGCTGCCATAGAAACGTTCGAAAAATTAATGTGAAATAATAGAAAATTTAACATTTTTGCGATTTGTAAATTAATAGAATGATCTGCAAGGGTATATAAGCTTCGGCTTGCCGAAGCTAGCTTCTTTTCTTGTTTTGGGATAATTTTATTGTTTATTTTGCAATCCTTCGGTAGTCTTATCGATATGGTGGTTTGTTGCCTCTTACTTCCTGTGACAAACCTGAGCGGCAAAAGATTGGTCAGGTTTTGTTAACTGCAGTTACTCGTAATTTTTTTTCTGCAGAGAAATCATCTATAGTGGGCCTTGATAATTTCGAAAATTTTGCGATGGCCGTTTTGTCGATAAAAAAAATACTCAGATATTTGGTATTTTAGGCACGAGAATATCAAAATGTAGTACTACTAGTTTGACCGCAGCTGTTACTTTTATGTTTTTTAGAATGTTTAAAAGATAAAGAGTGAATCTTTTAAAAACTTTAACATCAAAACAAACCATCCGATCCGTTTTGCCGGTGAGTTGGTCCTTTGGGGTCCTTGTGCTAAGAATCCTTGCGTCGGGGCACTTTTTGGAAAACGCAGTTTAACTTGAGAATTCGTAACGAATTCAACAATATAGCATTTATCGAGGTAAATTTAAAAGGCATTACTTTGTTGCATCGTGCTATTATCTAGAATTAGCTTTTAACATTTTAAAGTTTATCCCCGGATTGCTTAGACATTCACTTACTCCCCAGTCAATTATAAAAATTTATTGATAATTTTAATGCAAACACAAATTCAAAAGAAAATGTTCTTTCATAACTTTAATTCGAATCTGTCTTTTGTTTATTTCGTTTATGCTTATCTTGCATTTGCTCGTTAAACAAGTTAATTAGTGAAACTATCGTACTTCGTCGTTAAAAGACATAAATTGTGATATATACGATATAGCATGTTTTTTAATTTATACATCGATTTATAGTACTCCATTTCGCTAACTCTGTTGCATTCCGTAAAGTGCAATTAAACATTTATCTATCTTAAGTAAGTTTCGATGCGCAAGCTTTTAGCTGCCAACTCAACACAATTGTTGCTCTGTCATAAAAACAATGATTCAATAAATTATTTAACAAATAGTTCAAAGCGTATTTCAAAGTATGCATTAAGTGTAGTAGTTTAGTTTTTTGTTTACCTACAATTAAATTACATTTAAATACAAATCGTTAAAGTAATGCCTAGAAAACATATTTTATTTCTTGGAAGTTTGTATTTGCTTACTTGTTTTACATATTTTGAGCGCAGATTTTATTTAACTAACACATTTTTGGTTTTTTCCATACGCTTAGGGTGAAACACGAAAGTTGACACAAATCTTGTGCCTAAACTTTTAATTTAATTATATTAAATTCAATTTGATGCTTTTCTCGTTTGGGATGTTACTTAGCTTGCGTATATATGATGTATCGTATGTATGCCTTTCGTTACTATGTAATTTTGATGATTTCCTTATTAGACGTGGAAGGCTGCAGGCATATTTATTCGCTTATACCCCAGCACAACCCCTTTTTAGAATGAGTATTGAACAGTTTACATTTATTTGAGTGTGCCAGAAATTTCTTTGCTTGGCGCATTAGCTTCCCCCAGCAAGATGATTTAAATGTAATGATTCCAGACAATATATTCTTAAAAAAGGCGCACTTCTCCAACTGAAATTAAAACATAAATGTGTTGAAAATAATGTTACGAAAACAACAGCAAAATAAAAACCTAAAGGATATTAAGATATTTTTCGACGCACTTAAATAAAATCGAAAATGATTTACTTAATATGGAATTAATAAAGTGCAATATCAAACAAATGAAATTAGGTATTGATTTACAAAAATTTTTTAGCCCTTAAATAAAAAAAACCTACAATCAATATTACAGCATATAAAACTTTGTGCTAGAGAAGATCGATTCTGTTTCCTAATCGAAGGTTCATTATTTGGGGTGCAGCTATCGACTGAGATCGGTTAAACAACTATTTAAGTTTGGCACAAACTCTGAGTAATGCTGTCCCGCTCGAACCGTGTCCCCCGCCCACTGCCCAGGTCCGCCGGCCTTCCGCCCCACCCCACCAGTCTGCCTCAATTCAGACCCAGCAGCCTCTTAAAGGCCCGCCGGTAGTCCAGGTTGAAAATGGTGTAGATGACCGGGTTCAGGCCGGAGTTGATGTAGCCCAGCCAGGTTATGAAGTTCTTGAACTTGTTCGTAGGGCAGCAGCTCTGGCAGAAGGGCAGGATGACGTACATGAGAAAGAAGGGCAGCCAGCAGATGACGAACACGCCCATGATGATGCCCAGGGTGCGGGCTGCACGTCGCTCCTTGGACAGCGAGATCTTCTGCTTCTCCTCAATGAACTGGTTCACGCCACTCGGTTTCTTCTGCAGCGGAGTGGCGGAGACGGCGGCGGCTCCCGTCGATGATTGCGGCGGGGTGAGTTTGAGAGACGTCTGCTCGTCAGCCTGGGTCACACAGACCTAGAATCAAGGTATAACAGAGTTGCATTACAAAATCAATTAAGAAAAGGAGAATGTTAATAGATACCCCTTACTCAGTTAAAGGTAGTTTTTTTGATGGGTAATTTCATTCATTCTTGTTCTCAGAGGCTAAGAAATCTTAATATAAAAGCGTTCACACGGACAGACAGACGGGCATTGGTGGATCGACTCGGCTAGAGATCCTGATAAAGGTGGGAAACTATTCCTTCTACCAGTTACATACTTTTGCTCGCCACAACTGGTTAGGTACATAAATATAAATAATATATTTCCGATTTTTAAGCTGTCTAACCTGTATGCAACCCTTGGGGTCGCTCCCGCTCTCCGTGCTGATTTCGGCATCGGACTTTCCTCCGCCGGAGTGGCCTCCGCTGGTCCTGCCGGCGGGCAGGAGGTGCTGTTCGCCGTGGGGCTCGCAGGTGGACGAGGACTGCGACTTGCGACCGCCCCGCGCCTTGCCGTGCTTTATCGAGTCCTTAATCTTGGCGCGACGTGACTTTTTGACCAGCACGACCACGTGTTGCTGCTGTTGCGGATCGGAGCCATCCTGCGTCTGCTGCGGCTGGTGTGTCTCGCTGCTGATGCTTTCCTGGTCGTTTTGGATCATGGGCGTAGCGAATTGGGGACGATCCCTGCCGCAGCACAGCCAGCTGGTCAGGAGACGCGACTTGGAGCCGGATGTGGAGGCGGCGGCAGGTGAGGAGTTGGTAATAGGCTCCAGCTCTGCGGACTTGAGCGCGATCGTGTTCAGTTTGGCGGCCTTGGCTCGCTCCCGCAAGCGGCGCCGCGTGGCCACGAAAATCTCGATGTAGACGATCGTCATGATGACCAGGGGAATGAAGAAGGAGCCCAGCGAGGAGTAGATGACATAGCCGCGCTGCGAGGTCAGCTCGCAGGGCGTGGCGCTGGTGAACTCGTCCGGCCAGTCGTTCCAGCCGATCAGCGGCGGACTGCTGATCAGCAGTGACAGTAGCCACACCCCGGAGATGAGCAGCAGGACGCGGCCCACCGTCCGCTTCTGGGCGTAGTTGATTGGGTCCGTGATGGCCCAGTAGCGGTCCAGGGCGATGGCGCACAGGTTCAGGATGGAGCTGGTGCAGCAGAGGACGTCGCAGGTGAGCCACAGCTTGCACAGGTGGATGCCGAACTCCCAGCGTCCCAGGATCGAGTAGGCCACGTTGAAGGGCAGCACCAGAAGCGCCACTGTGAGATCAGCCACCGCCAACGACACAATAAAGAAGTTCTGGACAATGCGCAGCGGCTTGTAGGTGAACACACTTAGGATCACCAGGATGTTCCCGATGATAGTCAGCACGATGATGACCGAGAGCACCAGGGCGGTCAACATGGCCTAGAAAAAATGGAGACTTGAGTTAAGTAAACTTTCTCAAGTTTTAAATCTAAACGAGGACGGAAGCCAACTTCGGCAAGCCGAAGTTTTAATGCCCTTGCAGAATTCAAAAATGAAAATTTGACTAGGATAGCATATGTAAATACAAAACATGAAATAATAAACAACAAAATACTTATATACATGGGACAAATTAAAACTTAAAATTTTTTAACCCTATTGTTTGTTATTGTGGAAGCTATAGGATATAGACGTCCTATCGGAACACGCTTTTAACCCGATTAAGGTATGCATAAAATAATAAGATTTAAAAAGATGCATGTTAATAGCTTTTATACTGCGCGAAATATCTTAAATTTTTGCAAATTTTATACGATTGTTCTAATTGACGTCTAATCGGGGCGCTGTGTACACATGTGTTAGGACTACTGTAAAAGTTTCAAATCGCTAGCTTTTTAACTAAGCTCGCAAACGGTATTGAAAAGGACAGACAGACGGGCATGGCAATATTAATAATTAATTAATACTGATCAAGAATATATTTACTTTAAACTTCGGACCAAAATTTAAAATTTACAGCGGACATTTTCGAAAAAAAACTAAAATAAAAGGAACTTAAAGTTAATAAAAATGTAGAAAAAGTTTTATTTAAAGAAAGTACAGAATTTTTTTTGTCCCGCAATTTTAGTCCATATTATTTTTATATCAACATTGAAATCTCGAGAACTAAAAAAGCTAGAAATTTTGATTACTACCTCCCACTCCGGCACCGCCAGTTGGAGGCCCAGGACACTGGCGTGCAGCTCCTCCACGGCGCCTCCGTCGCACTCTCCCACGGAGTCCGCATCCGCCGGAGACGTATTTAGTGCCGCCGCCACGGTGGTCAGGCCCTCCACCAGTGAACCGGATATGTTGGCCAACGTCTCCGTTTCCAAGCCCGCGTCGGAATCCGTGTACGTCCGGACGGCATTGCCGCTTCCGGATTTCGTGGTGCCCACGGCGGCCGCAGCGGTTAGAGCCGCCGCCGCCACCGTTGTGGTGACATTTACAAACAGGATCTGATCTGCCGATGGCATGTTGTCATCGCCTGGCCTGTCTCACCCACTTGCTCCCAGTTGGGCTCCAATTACGTGAACATGCGTCTCGGTTGAAATGCGGACGGAATGTGCGATGCGTGTGTCTTTCTTGACTTTTTTCTGCGAAGACAAATGTAAGGCAAACAGTATTAATGTGGTTGCAACGCTTCGGTTTGCGGAGAAATGTTTTCAAAAATTTTAAGAATTGTATGTATGTATAAATGGTAAAAGCCTCAAAGTTAACCATAATTTCATTTACAGAGGCTATTATAACTTTAGTGCAGTGGATCAGTTTATGTATTTTAATTAATGGGAAATTCATCAGATAAGGTTACAAAATAGGTTTTTCTTAAAGAGCATTGACCGATTTCAAAGGACTTTAGAAGAAGCAAGTTTCGATGCGGGCAAAAGAGAAGGCAGGGCATTTTCATGAAACAAACTTTCTCTGCGTAGGAACCCCAAAAATCTGCATGGTTTATCCCAACATTCCAGATTTTATAGTTTCCGAGATCTTAGCGTTTATACGGACAGACAGACGGACATGGCTAGATCGCATCGGCTATTGATCCTGATCAAGAATATATATACTTTATAGGGTTGGAGACGCGTAATTCTACCAGTTACATTCTTTTGCATGAATACAATAAATTTTTTTACTCTTCGAGTAACGGTCTTACTGTCCGTAAGACCGCTTAAATTTCTGGAACAATGAGAGCCAATAAGATTTTAGTTTTGGTGCTATGCTGAAACATTTTTTTTCAGCCGAATGCCATGCCTATTCACCGCAAAAAACTATAAGTGCTAGCTTGGGCCGCTTGTGGTGCTCGCGTCGAGTGTTCACTGTTGTGTATCCTATCCCTGCATTTGTGTATAGTTCAGGCATTCGGATTCCTCGATTCTTATCATATTTCTTGTAGAAGTTTCCTTCATCCATCCGCGTTGCAGTAAAACTTTTGTCATAAGACCCAAGAAAATTGCTATGCGGGACCTGAGGACAAAGCAATCAGGATCATGTCAAATCCAAATTATTTACAGCTTGTCAATAAACATGCACAAAGGACATTCGAATGCTGGGATGGACTGGCCGAAAAAAACTCGATGGCAGCCCGGGGAAAAAAGGCCCAATAGGCCTCTTATCAGGCCTAAAAGACTCGGCCAGAAGGTCATTAACAATTTAAATGACAAATCTTGTCGCATTATCTCTGCTTAGGATAAAATATTAAGAAGTAATTAAAAATGTCAAACCAAAACGGCTCCAGACAGATGGTCCAAAGTAAATTCTTTTCCCAGAGAGATGTCTTCAAGATGTTAAAAGATATCGTGGACAATGAACCGGGACTCCTTTCACTTGTTTTCCTCAATCAATACACTCCACCCACCGACCTCCCTATAAGCATCGAATAATTGTTGCTCTGCTCTTTCCTTTTTCGCTTGACACATCTATGTATATCCGCTAAGCTCTTGCCAACTTTACTGAGTTTTGGTCTCGTGCTCTTTTTCTGCATCGACCATGCCTGATAGCAGTTGAAAGAACATTAATCAAAATAACCCGCTCATAAACTGAACTCTCCACCAGAGCCCAGAAAATGGGGAAAGGAAGGAACAACTTTGAAGCAAACATTTTCATTCAACAAAAATTGTTTTGCGTTTTTTCGCTCCACGGGCTGCTGAAGTGGTGACGGGCTGCCTGCTAGATTGCTAATGCCCCTGAATCCTACCTTGATTTCTGTCTGCGAATGTAAAGCTTTTATTCGGGGAATGGGAAATGTATTTTCGGTTTTTTTAGCTTCTTTAAATAGGCGGGTAAAAAGTTTTAAGCGATTTTTAGTGGGTTGGTCCATCACGATTTGAGTTCAAGAGTGCATAAGGCGAACTGAGTCCCTAAAAATAAACAAAAGTTTATAATACTTTGTTGAGTGTTACATTAATAAACTAAATCACTTTAAAAACTTGTTTAGACAGCTGGGTAAAATAACCATTAATATATTTTTTCTTCAGATTACTCAGATTACTATTTAAAAATTATAATTATAAAATATTTTTTACATAAATTTCCACCAATTTTTTTGATGAGACCGAATGCGATTCTTTTTTATTATAGTTTATTTTTTTTCCGTCGCGTAGAAGAAATATATTTCCAATGCTTAACCGATTTTCTGCTGGAACTTACGCGACATAATTGAATTTCTCGTGGTCGAGAGAAACTTGAGACTCGTGGGGGAGGGGATTTTCTACAGTTTGTTTCTGGCCTGTCCTGGCCGCCGGGCGATAAGCTTATTACAAAAGCTCCTGATTAAGGAACCAGCGCCCAAAAGCAGTCAGGGAATCGTGTTTGTGTTCGCGTGAGTGTGAATGAACAGCTTAGGATAGTTTGTCGTCCCTGGCTTGAGTTCAGTTGGGTTCGTTGGGAATGGGGAAAAGTTTTTTGAACTCGTTATGCAGTCGCTCGCAAAGGAGGCGAAGTGACCTTGACTGAACGGGCTCCAAATACATAATACTGAATACATATGTAAAAGCAGGCTTCTGCCCACATGGACACGTCCTTTTTGGCAAACTTGTCATTAGCATTTGTGTGCTTGCATCTGGGGATGTGAGAAGCCAGTGTGCCAAAGTTTGGCAACTTTGTTTTTCTCGGAAATCGAATGAAAACTTAAAGCCTTTCCCTACTCTCTCTAAGATATTGCATTACCCCGTAAGTGAAAGAGTATTCGAACTTCGTTGGCAGCACCGAAGCTTTATTGTTTTCCTCAATTTTACGCCGTGTCATGCTCATTAAATATGCAAGAGTTCCGGCATATCTGCAAGATACACGCATCCTCGACATCAAACCCACCCGCCGAACCACCCACAGAGCTTTATTTATAGACCACATTAGGCACTTGGCCAGCTAAAAATACTGGAGGTCGAATCGCCTTTGATGCTGATCAACTTTGCCGCACAGAACAAAAAAGATACTAATAAAGTATATTCACAGGCACATGCATCTTGGGGAATTTCTCTTAATTGGCATTGATGGGTGTGTGCGCCACGCCCCTTCCACACACCTTTGCGCCCCGCCCCTTCATGTTTCATTTCATTTGCATGATTAATGTGGCGTACAACAATTCCAACAGACACACAAGTAAAATTTCATCGCTCAAATACAGAGAACCTAAGAAAATTACGAAATTCATAACAAACAAAGTGAAGGCAATGAAAATGCTTCGCTTTGATTGTGCGGCAAGCTCTTTGAGCTGCGAGAATTTTAAATATTTTACGCGTAATTAAAACGGGTGAAATTGATTGGAAATTATGAAATGTTTTCGTGCCTAAGTAAACATGATTGGGCCCTCAAAGGAATGTTGGGTTAGAAAAGTGGGGTGGCTGCCTTGCGGTTTGCCTCCCACTCGTCTACAGATTTTCCATTTTCTGGGGCAATGAAAGGCCGCTGATCTGCCGCCCAGTTGACAACTGGCCAACCTGTAGATAAAGCTCCGTTGCCAATTTCCACCTGCGTTCATTTACTGTCCTTGCCGTTTCACCCTTTGCCAGAACTGCACTACAAAAATTTTGAAATTCGGTCTTGAAAAAAAATATTTAAAATATTAATGGGGAAATTTTCTTTTCATTTTTATATCCGTAAATAATATTTATATTTATTGGGAAACATTATTTTTACTTTCATTTTCGTAAATAATAATATATTTAAGTTCGATTTTAATTCAAATATTAAAATATTCCTAAAATATCAAATATCCTTTTAAGCGAAAAGAAAGTATCAAGGAATAAATATTAGGTATCTACAAAACTTGATATATGTATCTACTTTAACTGTTATATTTATAAACATCTTTGGCCCTTTTTGGTTCAGTGTACGAATATGAACTAAACCGAACTGAACTAGGCCTAAATGAAAGGAGAGCTGTACTCAATACAATGCAATTCGAGTCGAGTTGAGTTGGGCTCGGTGAATGAAAAACCGTGGGAGGCATGGCCAGCTCCAGGGCCTTATCCACTTATGGCAGGCTCTGCGGTCCATTCAGGACACTCACGCACTGCGAGCACCCACCCAACCCACTTTCAACCCGCTTTCATGCAGTTTTGCGCTTCTATTACGCGACTATCGATACAGTTTTTGGGTTGAAATTGGATTAAGTGGGACACTTTAGCACTGAAAGTCTGTCTGGATCGTTTTGCCTTTACCGAGGTGAGTAAAATATTAAACAATATTCAAAGTGTGCTGAACACTAAATCCGTTAACAAGTGGCGGGCTTAATGCATTTTAAAGAATCGGAAGAGCAGCCATACATTTAACCGCGGACAGGTTGCAAATTTGTTTACATGTTGATATGGAGTTCTGTTTGGCTTGCGGATTTCGCTTCTCCTTGGGTGTCCTCTCCGTTTTCCCGCTTTCCCTTTCTTTGTTGTTGGCTGCAGCATGTGCCATGTGGGAAATTCCTTCGCCCGATGCCGTTTTTCCTCTCTTTTTGTTTGGCAATGACAAGAACACGCTGATGGGTAAAGCAATTGGTCGGAGAACGGAGACGGGGTCGGGAGATAAGGACATGTGCGAAATCATGACTGCTTCCCAAATGAGCAGCAGATTGATGAAGCAGAAAATATTCGCCGTAAAGTAATGAGCACTGCGCTGCTGCCAACTGGCTGATTGAACGGAGATGGGGCAAATAAATTGGGCAGAGATTTGCTCTGTTTTTCATTAACTTTTCATTGACTGCATTAAGTAACATTTTTCTTTTTAAAATGAAATTGTTTCATTAATGAAGTATGAGTTAAAACTTTTTAAGCAGAAATTTTTACATTTTTTTATACGTTTTTCATGTAAATTCACATTAAATTACCACTGTATTCGTTGGAAAGTGTGTAACAGGAGAAGGAGGCGTTTCCGAACCTATAAGGTGTATATATTCTTGATCATGGTCACAAGCCGAGTCGATCTGTCCGCTTTTCTGTCCGTCTGTCCGTATGAACGCTGAGATCTTGCAAACTGCAAGTTTGAAAGTTACGATTTATCATGCAGTTCCATTGGGTTATTGTACTCTTGACAGTTTAATTAATAATGTTTAATCAAACCATTAGTTAAAAAGTTGGAAGCAAATAATAAAGTAACTTTACTGCATGCA